TGACTCACCCCACATTCCCCCTGCGTTAATAGCCTAGCACAGTTGGCATGGATGCCAGTACAAGGAATGAGATAAGGCCCTCTGCCAGGTCAGCTGCCAGTGCTTGCCGTGCCTTCCTCTCATCTTCAGTCCCTCTGGCTCATGCCCTCCAGCTTGGGGTTGCAGGTACACACTCCACAGCTGTAGCCTACATAGGATTCCACTGGTGTCAGCAGCTACGGGGTGGTCCATGCTGTGCACCTGTAATCAACACATGCTCCAGCAAATCCTTCTGTTCAGAGCTGCAGGGTCACCCTTCGATTGGTCACAGAGCTGGGGCTGTAGCAAACACCTTTGGGGAAGGGGCTGCATGACATGGAGGGTGGGGGAGTGTGAGGAAAGCCAGATGGAGGTCCTGTACCACTGTGGGTTGCAACAAGCCATTTTGCCAAGTGGGGTGGTAGGAGAGTGTCTGAAGCTTTATTTTGCTTTTTCACCTGTGTCCTGTCAGGAGTAGCGTCCATGTACCTTGATGTCTGGACAAACTGAGGTAAAAGGCTCCATCATTTATAATACAGTTCCACTACAAATTATATGCAAGTATTCCGTGGGACCCATCAGCTGGGTGTGGAGTCTCATTTTTGATGCAGAATTTAGGATACATTTAAAGACAAGCTGCTATGTGTGGGTCCCAGTGGCAGATCAGAAGCAGATAATCATACTCTGAGTATGGAAAGTCATAGCAATGTCCTAGAGAGATCACGGACTATTGCTATCAATGCTGGAAGAGGTTTGAGATGGCAGTTTCCCCGGTTGTCTTTATAATAGCATGTTGTTTTTATTTTCCGTGATCTTCCAGGCAAATACTGCTTTCTCCCCCTGGACCTGTATGATTGATGTGTTTGCGTCTATGTTGAACGTGGTGCTCAGTCATCTTTAAGATACTATAGTAAAAGATAGGAAGGCACAGCCCTGTGCTATCCAGGGTTATAATCCGCTTGCTTCATGTTCTTTCAGGTTTAATTGACTGAGGCATGTGAGAGATTACTGGGAAAAATAAAAAAAAGCATTAACTGGCTCCATGGTAATCAAATGAATCGTCTGAAAATGCACAGCTGCAAGTGGTAATATTGCAGAAAAATGTTCTTGTCGAGTACTTGTTATGGTGATTGTTCTTTTAGCTGTAACACTGCTGAGGATCGTGGTCTTTGTTTGCTGTTGCTACTACAAGCAGAGTGACAAAATAGAATGTGGCGTAGGGGCACGGTATTAGAAGAGACATTACGTGCCTGTGATCTCTTAGCCATGCAAGTTTTGGAAGTCCGAAGATAATCCTTCCATGCTATGAAACTGTCTAAGATTTTCAGAAGGATATTACTGGAACTTTAACTGTGAGTTGGTACATGGACATTATTTGGTTATTATTTTAGCCTGGACTGCGAGAAGGCTATAAATCTGGGAGTTCATTACTTAAAATTAACTAAATGTCTGTTTAGAATTTGGTTCAGAAACAAAATTAACAGCTTCTGGGCCAAGAGAGGATGGGGTAGTGCATTCTTGCCACCGAAATGAAGAGAGCAGAGGGCAGAGTGTAGCACGTGTACACTTCTAAGGTCTGCACTGTCCTCAGGGAGTTTTGTAAAAGGACTGAAGACCTTCACATCAGGTGAAGCTCTTTGCAGTAGTGTCTGCAAACAAGATATCTGTGTATCATTCATTGTAATTTTACTTTCAACATCCTTAATTTAGTATACTAAATATTGCAGTATTTCTACAGTATTGAAATAAGTATGATAAATAGTATTTCTAAATAGCGTACAAATAATAGCCTTGTGACAAATGCTGAAGGCAAAGCAAATTGCTCCTGTTCTTAGTTAATATTTGTCATCCAGAAAAATGGGAAAACAAGTTTATGCAACATCTACTGAACAGGAAAAAAATGAAGATATGGTGAAGAGATAGTGCTACATAATTTGTACATTCTGAATAAGTATTCTACTTTGAAAAAAAACAGTTTCAGTGTGCTTGAAGGCAAAAATCTAAACCTCACTAGTTTAGATTTACAAATACAGAGAACATGTGCTTGTAAGCCTGTATGCAAGTATAAATACATTGATACTTGGCACCTCAAGATAGATCCAGTATTATTTTTTTCAAGCATATTGCAAAATGTTATTCATGTCATCTTGCTTGTGCTTACCCATACACAGTACTGTTTTAAGAGCTGACACCCATTTCTGACAGCTGTATTTGGAAGACTGAGTCATTGCTCTAGCTTTCTACGTGCTTCATAGTTTAAAAAAAGGGAGAAACAATATTCAAAACAAACATTTTCATTATTTATTTTTATCGAGCTTTTTTCTGTAATAAAGGTACATGAGTAGACTGTTGCATAGACTAGAAAGTCTGTTTCCCAATGTTTTGTGTTTTTTCTAATGCTTCAGCACAATTTGCCATAGTGATTAAATGACAGCATTAATTCAGCAGCCTTGTAAGACATGGCATGTTGTCCAAAAGCTGCTTCATGGACTGAAAGGAAACCATAAAAGGACACACTCAAATTCAGAACAGTTTGAAAAACCCCTTTATTTCTCTTTCAGATTATTTACATGGCACTGGTTTAAATAAAACAGTAAATTACGTGGCTACTGGAAAGTTTTCTTTCTTGAGCTTAATTCTAAAGGGGTGTCAGGGCATATGCTAGAGCTAGATTTATAAGTTTTAAAAGATGAGAGGAACATTACATAAGGGTGAAGAAGTCTGATCAGTACAAGAGATACTAACTTTGCTCTGTGATCAGTGAAACAAAATTTAGTCAGTTGCTTCACTTGGCTTGGAGCTAGGAGTGGAGGAAATGTACCTTTATTGTTGCTCCTAAAGTCTGTAAATTGTTATAAATTGAGAGGTATAATAATACATGTGCTGTAAATTACTGCCTAGTTTTACCTTCAGGGAGAAGCAAGAGTGGGAAGGCAGGAGAGACATAAGAGTGTCAAAAGTAAATTCTATCACCATTTACAAGTGTAACATTTAATCTGTTCTTCAAGGGAAACTGTATTCACTGGTACTTTTTCTTCCACAAATAATCAGAGGTATTTATGTTATAGTTGTCATCAGGTTCTGTAGTAAGGAAGATTGTATTGCTCTAAATCATTCAATCATAAATTAACGAAACTGTATTATTAGGCTTAAATAGGAAATAAAATTGTTCAATAACAACTGAAGTGAGCAGAAGTGAGGTTCAGCTGTGTGGTATATGTGTTAACTGTGTATATATTCCATCCTCACCAACTGACCATGTCAGTGGAAGCGCTGCTTTAAAATAGTCTGTTGAAACAGAAAATGTGGAATCTGATGATGTACATTTTTTTTCTCCTGGAAAGGACACTTGTTTTCCATGAAAAATATTTTTGTTATAGTAGAAAAATGAGAAACTAAAATCTTTTGTTTCTTAACTTTTTTTTTTTTTTTTTTTAAATTTCATTCAGAATTGTTCCAATCTGGGAGAAAAAAAGACAGTGAAACAAAACATTTTCCCAACAGTAGCAAGAGCAAGTCAAATGAACAGTGAACATTTTCGATTAACTGTACCTATAATTTTGATAAATTTCCTGTTTTCTAGCAATAATCCATAGGTTTCAAAATTATCTGCAAAAATTGTGAGAAGAGAACCAGGTAGACAAACAGTCATCCTATCATCAGATCTTGAGGCAGAAATCTCACTTAACAGAATGCATTGTTCTACACATTTTTTAAAATTTGGAAGCAGATCTTGTAATTGTCAATGAAAGAAAAATGGCTAACCATGAAGGAACAGCTCTTTCTATTATAGAAAGGAGGCAGGTAGTGACACCTCCTGTGCTTTGCTTTGCCACGGAAAACATGCCCTTCAGCAGAAGGTAGAGTTATGAAATCACCCTCAAACTACAGAAGGAAATCTGACGTTGGACTTGCAGTCTGCTTTTACATGGGGAGTGGGAAGGATTCAATATTCTGCCTGCCCCCCACCCCCTTCCCAAACTACTACTAATTGCAGCGGGTTTTTTTTTAAGTGAGGGTATTTTTTTAAAAAAAAACAATTTTGGCAGTATCCTTTTAAGCTCCATGTGCAGCTGCCTCAGTTCTCATCTGTGACACTAACCTCCCTTCTCTACTCCTTTTTTTGTGTCTGCCTGTTTCCCAGGAACTGGAACTCTGGGGTATTTCTTTGTAAATACATTTCTGGTTGGCTCCTAGATTATTTATGTTGAGCTGAAACTGTAGTATCTGTGTATGGGATGAAGGCAAGGTTTTGAAATTGGAACCTTGCAGTGGAACTGCACATAATACCAAACACATTGAGTCAGTGTTTAATAACACCACCTGAAAGTTTTTTTTACTTTGAGAATGGTGGGAACTTCCATTGCTCAGCTGTGCCCTGGGAAACACACCCTCTTCGTCTGGAATAGCCAAGGAGTCACTGATGGCAGGTGGACGAGCAGTACTTTCTCTAGGGCAGGACATCCAAGAGTGTCTTGGTAACAGACACGCGACTTGCAGAGGCTACAGGTCCTAGTATGTAGTAATACTTGCGGTTGCACTGAAAGGCAATTTGCTTGCTGTTCTCTTTTATGCTAGTTAGAGCCCCAACCCTACAAACTGCATCCACAGTCGGCCCTAAACTGTGCTGATATTTGAGGGGATTTGCTGGTTCGTGGGGATACTTGGAAAGGTTTGGCAGAAGTGTCGTAGCCCAGCACTATGCTTTGGAGCTTTGCAAATCACTACCATGACTGTGCTCTTGCTTCACGGTCAGTACACAGGCTGCCGGGGTTAGATGTGCCAGGATACAGTATTCCTTGTCAGCACTCCAGATTAACATGCAGCCACCTCATGTATGCATAATTCTCTGCAAAAGAATAGGTTCCATACTAGGAGTTTAAAGTTTCTGTCCTATACATATATATGTCTGTGTGAGTTTATTTATGAATTTTCAAAAGTTCAGTACCATTCAGAGTACTTTAACTTCCTTTCCCACCTAGATCGGCAGATTGGTTATTGGGCAGAATGGTATCTTATCGACACCTGCTGTTTCATGTATCATCCGAAAGATCAAAGCTGCTGGTGGAATTATTCTGACAGCTAGCCACAGTCCTGGGGGACCCGGAGGAGAGTTTGGAGTCAAGTTTGAGGTTGCCAATGGAGGTAGGTTTTTTTTTAAAATAACACATTACAACATTGCATCTCGTGATGATGAAAATATGCTGACAAGGATAACTAGCTGATTTTAACTATGTGTTTTTAATTCTGTTACAACTATGAAGAACATATGCCTATCTCTTTTTTTTCAGTAACAGGAGTGCATTTGTTTACGCGGGTCTGTACAATAAGCACAAAATGTTCACTGAAGTCCTTGTGGTAGCTGTAAGATTTCTATAAACGAGGTTTGCCATCCTGTTTTTATAGCATTTTATGTAGTCTGCCAGATTGTTGTAACAGTTCTGATCCTTTTATAAAGATGCCTGTGAGGGAGCTCAGTTTTGCTTATATTTCTGTGTTGCTTGTCTTGGCATTTACTTTAAAGTGTGCGATTTCAGAAGTGCTGTAAGCAGTGTAATTCACTGTCTTGTATGGAAGAGAGTACTTCTTGTGTTTACCCAGGAAGTAACTGCTCTTATCCAGGGAGAGGGTTGTGCCATTTTAACTGTTGCAGTTCCACTGTTGAATAATGGAATTTGTGTATATAGCTAATGTCTTGTTTTCCAAAATCAGCAGACTAACACATGCAGGTACATTATACATTATGTATGTTTTATGTTATAGATCTGTGTACACCGATTAAACATCGTGGTAACGATTGCTGACACCTTGTGTACCTCACACATGTAGAGTGCTTTCTGTCTGAAAAAACTGAAAGTACTTTCAAAATAATGTTTCCTTCCCCATTTTGAAGATGGGAGAACTTGAGAAGGGGATGCTTCTCCCTTGTCCTTTGTTTAATTGAAAAAATGTGCATGGTTAAACCAGCGTGATTTTTATATACAGAATAGGCTTGAATCCCAGAGAGATTAAAGGGACCATGAAAGGTCAGACGGTGAGAAAGCTAAGGTCACAGCACAAACATACCAGAGCCAAACCATTAGGTGCATTAGCACTCTATAAGCTTTAAAACACCACATAGACCTAAAATCTATTTGATAAATGGGTAACAGTTGGTGGGTCATTCTTTTTAATGTGCTTTGCCTTTTTAAAGAAACTTCAAGTAATCTGTTAAGCTTTAAGTATGAAACACTCGTCAAGCACAGGTCACAATTATTTATGATAATCAGCAGGGATGTAATGAAAAATAGTTGGTTTAAGTTGCAGCTGAGAAAACGTGGGTTAAGTATTAGGCAAGGCTTTTGAACTAAGAGAATGATGAAGCACCACAGCAAGCTCCTAGAGAAGGCTATTTTTGCTCTGCCTTCTCACTCAGACTATTTTGCAGGTCCAGGTCAGGCAGAAGCGGTTTGTTTCTATAGCCATAGGAGAGGACACAGAGTGACACTGTGGAATCTCCTTAGCTGGGAATATCAGTAGACAATACATCCATCTGTCAAGGATGATCTGGAGCTAATGAGACCTGCCCTCACCCCTTGGATGGGTTCGTATTAGATGAGTAAGAAGTAATTTTCTGAGCCAAATGGAGAGTTAAGTGACTGTTACTTATTGTATTGCCTTGGACCATCTGGTACACTGCATCTGAGGTGGAACACAGTAATTTATGGCCCAGAGCTGCACTGAATCACAGCATTGCTAGAGGAGTGGGAAGTTAGTACTGAAAAAGCAGAGGCTTTGGATTAGGAGAGAGAACACGTAAAAGTTAAGAAAGGAAGTAATTTTTCAGAGTGGAAATGTGGCTCTAATATAAGCAGTGAAGAGTCAGATAAGCTAGAAAGGACTTATTTTGTGACTCAGACTCAAGTCTTGGACTACATATATGGCATAGCTCATCTGGTAGTTTTTGCATCAAGCAGGCAACTTTTGTTTGATTGACAGTATATTTTAAAAATAGAGCCATCTTCAGGATTTGACGATAAAAGTAATGCAGAAGTAAGAGGTGATTTCTGTTTCTGAATGACGTAACTGTTCCAGGTCATAATTGCTTGTCAAGCAATAAGGTATTTTGAATTCTAACAAAGATACATTTCATTAAGCCATTCGAAGAAGACTGCAAGAAGACAACATTGTCAAACTGGTAAGACTTTTAAAAATGATAATTATGGCTAATGAAATAATGTGAAACACAATGCTATCTCACCTTTGTAAGTGGGCATTTGCAGAAAGCCCTATGAAACACCAGAAAACTCTGCTGAAGGGCAGGCTTTCCTTTAATACGTGTATTGAGATTCCATGTAGAGTAAAAAATGGCAGTCTTTGAGCAATAAACCCAAAGAAAGATGGCTGTGGGTTTTTTGGTTCCTACATCCCCCCTGCTCTGGGTAATGATTGATTTAAATACTCTATGTGAATCAAAATGGTGCAAGTAATGCACTGTATTTCCATGTTATATTCTTTAAAAAAATGTTTTAAACCGGTGTTGCACTGAAATAAAAGACCGTTTTTAAAATAGTTCTTTGTTTGGGTTTATTGCTCAATAATTCCAATATATTCAGAAAAATGTTTTGCTATAGCACCCACTTTTTAAGTAGGGAACCTTAATTTTAAAAAAAATGACTGAGCGCATTCTTTTTTCTTAAAGGACCTGCTCCAGATATAGTTTCAGATAAAATCTATCAAATCAGCAAAACATTGGAGGAATATGCCATTTGTCCTGATCTCAGAGTTGATTTATCACGCCTAGGAAGACAAGAATTTGATCTGGAGAACAAATTCAAACCTTTCCGAGGTATCAGTGTGTGCTTTTGTGCATGCTATGTCCATTGATTCTAAGTATTAGAATTGCTGCAGAATAATAATGGATAATTCTTTAAACAGAACTCTGATTCTTCAAAATGCTTTACTACAGGTTCTCAAAATATTAGGCAGTATAGGTAGGTGGTGTGTTTGTTTTGCTCGTAAGGAAGCTGAGTTATGGACTTTTTAAGTGGATCATGCCTCATCGTTTAGCCAAATACCTTTGACAAATGTATGTGCTTAGTCTTGCTAGTAGTTGAATACCAAACGCAGACATTTTTGGACTAGGAATGGTTTGCCTATGTAAATCTAGTTGGCAAAAGAGTTTGTGAGAGTCTCAGTTTATTCATTCTTTGCTCACACTTTCAGAAAAGTTGTGGGGTATGTAAGGCACTACACATCCAGTGACTCCAAATGTAAAGGGGGTGTTTAAGCACATGTTGAATTTTAAGCCCGTGAATACTTCTATGCCTACACTTGATTTAAAATGAGCTAACATAGCCATTTTGTCCTGAAGGAGTCAAAAGCAAAGGAAGGAGTCCAGACAGTATTTCAAATCCTGTAAAACTCTGTGTGGCCTCAAGAGCTCCTCCTTATTCCTGATGTCCTAGAATTAAAGCCATTTTATTTTCCACTAAAACATTATTTTTTGAGACAAAATACATTTTGATAAATAAAGTTTTCGATTAGAAAAAATATTAAATTATGATATTTTTTATTACAAAGAACATGTTCAGCTTTTTAGACAAACAAAAAGCAAAGAAAGTGCAAAGCCAGCATCACACTGGAATAATATGATTGCCACAGTTTCAACTTGCTTTTTCAACTTTTTAATCTCTCTGAATTTTATTTTTCTAAATGAAAATGAGACACACACATGCCCCCACCCCAACCCCCCCCCGACAGGTAGTATGAAACTAGATAAAAAATGGTTGCAATTTGTCTGAACATTTTTCAAAGGAAAATAATTTCCTAGTAATCTTTTCTCAGAATACATCACCTTGGGACAGCAGAGCTGCTAGGGATCCCTACTGAATCAATGTAATTGGTCTACAAGTGCATGAATAAGTATAATTTACACAGGTCAGAATGCAGAATGAAAGTGCAGAAAGGATGAAAATAGTTTGAAAAGTATTTTAAGATACTAGCTAATGTATTTCAAACTTCTGCTTTTTCAGTTGCATGAACTAGCTCCTGTGAATCAAGGCTATGAAGGTGTTGAAGCAACTGAAAGCAAACCAAGTGGGTTTGGCAGGAGCGAAAATAATTTTTAGACTTCAAACCTACAAGCACTTTATCATGATGTGTATGAGGAGCTCCACTGAAGTTGAGGCATTTGTTCACATGTGTAAAGCTTAGAGCTTACTTAAATATTGTAGGAGCAGGGTATAGAAGATATACAGTAATGTAATTTGAGTGAATCCTTGGGACTTCCAACATGTACCATAGAATTAACTAATTTTCAAATAGTTTTTACAGCTTGTTTTTCAGTCTTTAGAGTATTTTTTTTTTCATTCAAGTCTATTGTGGCAATCTGTTTGAAATGTTTTTCTCAGGCTCAAAAAATGTCTACGTCAATTTCATGTTATCCTAAAGAAGAGCATTAGGGTGAGGTCAGTGTTTCTGAGGAAAACTGGCTGATGATCTGAGTAGTAATGTAACTTGTAACTGAAATATTTCAAGATATTAATTTACTCAGATAAAAAGACATTTGTGTAACATATGCTTTTTAGTTTAATCAGGAAAAGTAATAAGTTCCAAGATGACAGAGAAGCATGGCTTTTGACAGTTGTTTGGTAATTGCTTTTATTATGAGACTTACTTTTATTAATTCATGTTAGTTTAATGTTCTACGTCCGAAAGCATTGTAGCTCTCTGCTTTTAGGAATGTAGAATTCAAATTAGCAAGACCTTAGCAAAAATCCAGATATTGTATCTGAGCCTAACTTTCCTAAATCAGTGAGATATAAAATGCAAAAGTATAGCGACAGATTGACAGTAAACTGACAACAGGTATTCCAGGTGCCAAAACCAAGAAGAATAGGCTGTGTGTCTCTCCTGATGGAATGATGCAGGTAGATGCTGCTGTCAGACAGAAGAATAGAACGTGTAGCTTCAGCTTGGCATGGACACCTTCCGTCCTCTGAGAATAAACCTCTTTCAGTTGAAAAGTTGTTCAGTGGTTTAGTGAATGATACATAAAGAGTTTACTTTGATATACTCTCGTGAATGTTTTCAGTGAAATAGGAAGTGTCAACTTACATATCTCTGCCTCCTTTAGCAGGCAAAACTGTTGATCTTTGCAAGGCCTAAAGCTTGATGGCAGCAACACTGAAACAGGTGGAAGTCTTTGACTTTGCCTCTGTGAGTTTCAGAGCAAATCCATATTATGTAGAGATGTTGAGGTGCATGACTGGTTGGAACTGTGCTGAGAGAGTTGTCTTTTTATGTGTGAACTGTAGTGATTTTTTTCTACCTGATTTTTCTAGTGGAAATTGTAGATTCTGTGGATATCTACCTCAGTCTTCTTCGAAGTATCTTTGACTTCAATGCGATCAGAAATTTGCTGACCGGACCCAACCAGATTAAAATAAGGATTGATGCCATGAATGGAGGTATGAACTTAAGTTGCTCTCAGGACAAAATTGTAGGTACCTTGCGATAGTTTCCCAGTAAAGATGGTACACTGCAATAGTTTCCCAGTAAGGGTGCAGTGTGTAAAAGTCAGACTTTGTAGTAAGGTTAAGGGTAATAAGAAAGGATTTGAACATTATACTAGTAACAAAGGCCACTGTAACAATGGGTTAGGTCCCTTGTTAGGCAAAGAGGTTTATCTTTCTTGATAAAGAATTGAAGGCATATGTGTCCAATAAATATTCTTTCTGCATTTGGAAGCAAGCAGGTTGAGGTGCCATGAGAGGGTGATGAAGTACGTTGCAGTGTGCAGTAACCAAGGAGGTTACAAGGCAGTCTCCACTAAGAGTAAATTCTAAATGGTATAAGATCAGTTAAATCGGAATAAATTGCACTCAAGAGTCCTTAAATAGTTGGCTGAGACCTCTGTCTCACTAATGTTAACTGTTAAAAAATTTCAGTGTGCTGGGGGCAGGATGAAAGAAAGTGTCACAGAAGAGAGCGAGAGGTCCACTTTTGTGCCAATATTAAAAAATTATAAGCTATTGTCGATTGAGGAAATACAGATTCGTATGAGATCTATCTTAGGCTACATCATGAAAAAATAAATAAAGATTTCTACAGATAGTGACTTGAGGGATAGGAATGCAGGTAATCCTGTTCAGTGTTATGTTGTGGAAAACAAATTCTATCAACAAACCAGGTTTCTATAATGGGATTACAAAAACAGACCAATACAGGGAGCTGGATAGAGTTACCAAGCTTTTTAAAGCATTTTATGTAGTACAATGTGATAGTCACTGTTCAGAAGATCACAGTCAGTGTGAACACACAGTTCGCAGGCTGTGGCAAAAGATTGTGGTGGGCGTACGGTTTTGCCCAGCTGTGGCAAAAGGGCAGATGTCCTTGAACAATGCAGAGAGAGCAGTGAGGAGGGCACTGCCTCCTGCCACGTACAGTATTGGACAGAACATTACTCAAATAGTGTATGGAGCTCTGATGTCCAGATCTATAACTGAGTGTTGAAAAGTTTTACACATTGTCAAAAAGATGCACAGTCTGTCTCGGGGTTGAAAAACTGATGCATCACAAAAATTTTAAAGGACCGAGTTTGTTTACTTTGTGTACAAGGTGAATAGAGGGTTGGCTTTATGGCTTTATATGTTGGTGGAGAAATAGCCATACTGTAGTACATAGCAGACATACAGTAAGGGTATACAAGAATATTTGCTTGTACAGCAGAGAAAGCTTTCTTTTTTCCTGCAGAAAAATTATTTCTCAGTCTTCTCTTTCCAAAAATACCCAAAAGAATCAATAGTGAGAAGCTGAGGCAGACATATTCAAATTGAAATGTAGCTCAGATGTTTATGGGTAACAGTGAATAACCACTGGAGCAGTTTACCAAAAATAGTTGGGTTTTGTCCTTTTCTGGGTGGCATCAGATCAAAAGAATTTCTGGATGAGATGCATTGGCTGAAAATGTGGGACCAGCCATAGTACAGTGAACATTAGAGAGGGCCACATGTGTCTGTGGACAAACTGTCTTCCAAAGTTTGTTTTAGCTCTGCAGCTCTGAAATATGCTTTTTTGCATGTAGACATTGATAGTTTAACTTTGGCATAGAAAAGTGTAATTTGCCAGGGTTCTCTGCTTGATAAGAACCTAAATCATTGTTCACTGTATAGAATCATAGAATCATAGAATGGTTTGGGTTGGAAAGGACCTTAAAGATCATCTAGTTCCAACCCCCCCTGCCATGGGCAGGGAAACCTCCCACTAGACCAGGTTGCTCAAAGCCTCATCCAGCCTGGCCTTGAACACCTCCAGGGAAGGGGCATCCACAACTTCTCCGGGCAACCTGTTCCAGTGCCTCACCACCCTCACAGTGAAAAACTTCTTCCTAATGTCTAGTCTAAATCTGCCCTCTTTCAGTTTATACCCGTTACCCGTTGTCCTGTCACTACACTCCCTGATAAAGAGTTCCTCCCCATCTCTCCTATACAGTCTCCCCAGAGCCTTCTCTTCTCCAGGCTGAACAGCCCCACCTCTCTGAGCCTGTATATTTTATAGAGTTGGCATAAACTTTCCTGAGCCCAAGTTTTCACATAGTTGTACTTCGTTACAGTTAGCAAGATTTGGAACTAAGTCAGGAGGAGAGAGCACGAGAGAGCAAGCAATCATTTGTGAAGTTTTTACCTCTGAGTGACCTGTTCACACCTGCCTCAGGGATGCAGAGAGATCAGTCTGTTCTTAGTGTCTGTTCAGCTGCTGAATGCACAAGTGTAGATTTTATACACAAACTAGCATTACGGTTTCTCCGTAGAAGTGAAAGATTTGATTGTGGGATTGAACAGTGTTCTGTACGGTTTGATAATGACTGCATGTCAAGGTGCATATGTATTCAGGATCCTTTTGTTTCTGGACTGAAGTGATAGAAATATGCTATTAATACTTAGAAAATATTCCTTGTAGTTATTTAAAATTAAAATTAATTGGTTAAAGGATAGAAGATTATGTGATTTTTTTCAGTGGTTAAAATTAGGATGGGGAATTCCTATCAGAACAGAAAGAAAAGGCCCAAGATGTTAGTCTGGAACATAAGTGAAATAAAACGCTGCTCCAAAATGAACCTGGGTGATGTTTTGGGATACCCCACAGCATTGAATAGAATAATTATGATATATAACAGCATGAGCTGTGGTCTTAATTGGCCATATCTTTAACAAAATAAAGAAGTTATTTTGGAGTTAGTTTTGAGAAATTTTTTATTTCGTATCTACATGGTAGTAACTAAAATCCAGAGAAATTCTTTGGTGGAGAAACCTTTTGTGATTTTAATATGAGTTAGAAGGTTGAGGTAAGTTTATTTCCCACTTCTGTTCCCCTGCTGTTTGCTTTCCTTGCTATTATGTGTTAAACTGTTATTTGCATGCCAGGACACACAGAACAGCATCTTTTTTTTATTCTAGTGAGGAAAAACCCTCAATGTGTATGGTAATTTTTTTTACTTAATAATGGGTAGATAAAACTTGCATCGTTCACCATCCACTGATTACTTTTTCACTTCCACTAGTGGGAAACTGTGTTTTTAATGCTGAATTGCCAACTGGTTATTTACTGAGGGGACAATTACATACTTCTTTTTGTGAAATAATAAGTTTGTCTTTTGTTGCTAGGACAGATGTATAGGATTGCTGAAAGTATGTTTTATATCAAGTCTTCATGGTGCTGTGAAAAATTTGAATGTCAAGCAAACGCTTTTGTGATTGCATGGCAGATTTCTGTTTTTACAGTTATGGGACCTTATGTGAGAAGAATCCTGTGTGATGAATTGGGAGCTCCTGCAAATTCTGCCATAAACTGTGTTCCTCTGGAGGATTTTGGGGGACAGCCTCCTGATCCCAACTTAACATATGCAACTGCCTTGCTGGAGGCTATGAGAGGTGGAGAGTATGGATTTGGAGCTGCCTTTGATGCTGATGGAGTAAGTATTTTGATCTGTCTGGAGGTTTCACTGTAGTTGTTGTTTTGGCTGGGGTCAGATATGGTACATGCAAGTATAATTTATTTGCTTTTCAGTAATCTCTCAAAGCTGAAATCCATATTACTTTCAGGTACAGGTGATAGTATTTGCAACCCATAAATCAGACACATATGTTCTAGTTTATCTCTGCAGTTAACTGCAAATTAAGCAGGGTTTGAATCCAGAATGAGAATTCTTTAAATATTAGGCTGCTTTTATTTTGTACTGGTGTGACACTTTTATTCCCTGGGTAGGAAGAGACAGCATATATAAATGAAATGGACTTCTCACAGTAAGTAGTCACTAAGTTAAGTCCTTTTTGGTTAACATCATAAATTGAGGGATTTTTAGTTAAATAAAGCACTGAATCATAATCTCTGGTTTTTGTGTGGTTTGGTTTGTGGCTTGGTTTTTTTTTTTTGGTTTTGTGTGTGTGTGTGTGTGTGCGCGCGCGTGTGTGTGTGTGTCACATTACCAGCATTATAAACAGCAAAGTATTACAGCAACAGCTTTCTGTCCTGACAGGGCGAGAGAAAGATGAAAAGGTTCTGAAGAACAGAAGCTGTTTTCTGTTGTCATAAACACAAAACACCCTCCTACTCCCCGTATAGTGTGTCTCATTGTCAGAAAGATTCTCCTACACAAGCATTCCCTGGCAGCAACAGACCTACTGAAGTATCGTGTAGGAGGTTGAAGCTAGGGACTGATCTGGAGCTTTGATATGGAAGGCTGGAAGGAGTGATGGTGTGATAGCGAAATGATAAACCTGCCAGGATGATGCCAATTATTCTGCCCGAAGAGGGATGCGAGTAACCCAAAGCCTGATCTTTTTTCCCTACCTACAGTGGATTTAATAAAAGAAATTACCACTCTCCAAAACATGGAATTTAAGATGCTTTTTTGAATTTCTTTTCAACTCCAGGACCGCTACATGATCCTTGGCCAAAATGGTTTCTTTGTTAATGCGTCAGATTCGTTGGCTGTAATTGCTGCCAATCTGTCTTGCATTCCATACTTCTGTCAGATGGGCGTCCGAGGATTTGGCAGGAGCATGCCTACCAGCACAGCCCTAGACAAGTAAGATGAAACATTTATTTGTATCACTTTGGTCATTACATTAGTTATCTCTCTCTTTTGTACTACATGACAGTTCCAAAATTCTGAAGCCTTTTGGTAAGAGCTTGTAATTTTCACAATCTTTATGTGCTTTATTGCCTTAACTAGTTTCAATTGCATTTTGATCTTACCGAGACTCATTTTACCAACCTTTACTTGGATGAAAATAGGTTAATTCAGCCCGGAAAAGAAATAAATAGGTTAAATCTTCTTGAGAGTGCAAAAACTTGACTGGTATTTCCTTTTACAAATAGCTTTACTCTTTTTCTTAGTAAATAGTGGTTTACAGCCTAATCTAGCAGCCCTTCTTATGAAAGTCATGGAAGTTTATAACAGATAAAGTACTAATTCAGTACTAAACAAACATTTAAAAAAACCCAAACAAAAAACCCCTCTTATTTTAAGCCATTAAAATATATAATCTATTATGATAAAAAATGTCTCAGAAGGGACTGCGACCAGTCATGAAATCTATTCCCAGTTTCAAGGCAGGTTAGAAGTATACCTAAAGCTATTTCTGACAAGTCCAGTCTGCTCTTAGAATATTTGCTGGATGTGCATCCTGCAGGTCTGTCATGGAATCATAGAATGGTTTGGGCTGGAAGGGACCTTAAGGGTAAAGGTCACCTAGTTCCAACCCCTGTGCCATGGGCAGGGACACCTCCCACTAGATCAGGTTGCTCAAAGCCTCATCCAACCAGGTTGGGGAATCCACAACTTCTCTGGGCAGCCTGTTTGAATGCCTCACCATCCTCACAGCAAAAAAATTTCTTCCTAATATCTATCCTAAATCTACCCTCTTTCAGCTTAAAGCCATTACCCCTTGTCCTGTCACTGCACTCACTCCCTGATAAAGATTTGTTCCTCCTCTCTCCTGTAGGCCCCCTTTAGGTACTGGAAGGCTGCTATGAGGTCTCCCTGGAGCCTTCTCTTCTCCAGGCTGAACAACCCCAACTCTCTCAGCCTGCCCACCTGTGGGAGGTGCTCCAGTCTTCTGATCATTTTCTGTGGCTCTCTTCTGGATCTGTGCCAGCAGGTCCATGTCTTTCCTGTTCTGGGGACCCCAGAGCTGGATGCAGTACTCCAGGTGGAGTCTCCTGAGAGCAGAGTACAGGGGGAGAATCACCTGCGTTCCTGTCAGACTTGAAAAAACTGTGACAATAAGTTTGTCTGTCTTCTTTTCTTAATGTTCAGTAAATATGTCAGAAAGTATAAATATATTGAAGTCCCTTTCAATAATACTATGACTATTTGAATTATGTTCTTGACAATGTTTACTTGACCCTCTGGAGCACAGATCATCTCATGGTGCTTACTGCCTTATTTAGTTCTGTGGAGCTAAGCCTGATTATTAAGTAAAACTGAGCAATTGATAATGATGGAAGGATGTAAATATTTTCCCAGCCTTTCTTACAAATATTTATTATTATGAAGTTTGCAGTCGGTATCCAGGACACTTGATTTTTTTTTTCTTTCATTTTGTCGTTGTCTTTGTTTTCCTGAAAATTTAGAAGTTACATTTTTTCAAAGCTGGTCAGTTTTGTTTTGTGACTCATTTACACACACGACAGTCCAAAATACCTGAATTTTAATTTGCTGTAAAAATGCCATAATGTTATCCAAAGATTCTCATGCTTTGGTGGCAAAAACTGTATAATCTGCTTAATTTATGAGTGGAAGTGCTGAGCTCACGCATTGAAAAGCCCAGTTTAGACCTGAAATCACAGTCAGTATTTCATCTTAAGCAAGTCACTTTTCCTGTATATTGGCTAGCTACATGGATTGGAACACAGTAAGAAGTATCACAAACACCTTCTTCAGTGGTTCACTGCATGAATTATTAGCCACCATGTCTTCTAGGATACCCAGTGAAGCCCACCGTAAGGGACTGCTGAACTTCCGGGAGAGATGGTTGTCTATAAGAAGTGTTTTTCAGTAAAGTCATAGAATGTAATTGTCTGAAATCTAATCTGTTGCTTGGAGAAGTGGCTAACAGAGGTTGATTCTTGGTATAGGTTTCATGTTGAACGGAATTCCAATTTCATAACATAAGGGCCAGTTCCACTAGCGTCAGTGAAATCTTACAGTGGGACAGTGGGTGTAAAAGAATATGTGTAAGGCATTCATGATTCCATTCCCATGGACTAACTAGCCAACTTGCAAGAAAAAAAAAAAAGGTCTTTTGGAAGGGCAAGGATATTCACAGTACAATGAGGCAAAAAGAAAAAAAGCAAGATTGAACAATTCTATGTAGAATTAGCACACTAGTATAATATTTGTATTAAAATTCCAAAACCTCAGTCTGTACTTCTGCAACAGGAAGAGAAATCCTTTCTCTTCCAAAATGTGGTGTCTAATACCACACAGAATGTTGGTTAGTGTGAGGGACAGCATCCTCTCTGTGTTTGCTGTTGCATGTCTCACCTCCAGTACAATAAGATCAGTAAGGAAAGTATTTTTGTGGTCTCAGTAGAACATTCATAGAAGAATGGGTAACACTGCTTGCTTAGGTCCTGCAGGGGCTTTCAGGTTACTACTTACTAGTGCATGCTTTAAATCTACTGCCTTTTTTGTTTATTGATCCCTTTTATTCCTTTCTAATGGACTGGTCTTAATGTGCTGCAGGGACAACTGTCATAGAACCGCTTTGTGTATCTACCTGTAAAGCTCATGCCTCAAGCTCATGCACTGGAAAGAAAACATTAAATTAATGTTTTAATTTAAAAAAAGAACTGTGACTTTTAATTCTGGCAGATTAGAAGGAAATAATCACAGAATACAGGAGGCTGGAAAGGATGCCAGGACATCGTCTAGTCCAACACCCTGGTTCAAAGCAGGGTCAACTAGAGTGGGCTGCTAAGAGCCATGTCCACTTGGGTTTCGAGTACCTGTAAGGATGGAGACTGAACAATCTTTCTGAGCAAACTGTGCCAGTATTTCACCACTCCAAGAGTATAAAAGTTTTTTCAAAAGTAGAAACAAAATTTCCTGAATTTCAGTTTGTGCCCATTGTGTCTTGTCCTGTTACTGGGCCCTGTTAGAAGAGTCTGGCTCTGTGTTCATTACTTCCTCCACCCTGCATTGGATATTTCTCTCTTTTTTCATTGAGGCTTAGCAATCCCATCTCTCTCAGCCTCTCCTAGTAGATGCTCCGATCCCTTAGTCAAATTTGTGGCCCTTTTCTGGAACTGCTCCAGGAGATCCAGAACTGGACTTGGGACCCCTGATTTTGTCTTGCCAGTGCTGAGTATTGAGGAAGGCTGAATTCCCTCCACCTGCTGGCAATGCTTTTCTAATGCTACCCAGGATGTTGTTGGTCTTCTTTGCCATAAGGGCTTATTGCTGGCTTATGGTCAAGTTGTGGTCCACCAGGACCTCAGGTCCTTTTCTAAAGAGCTGCTACCCAGCCATTTGGCCCCCCGATATATACCAGTGCCAGGGATTATTCCTCCCCATGTGCAGGGCTTGGAAGTGTTTCCATTTTGACCTGCTGGAGGGAAGGGATGCCATCCGGAGGGACCTGGACAGGCTTGAGAGCTGGGCCAATGCCAACCTCATGAAGTTCAACAAAGCCAAATGCAAGGTCCTGCACATGGGTTGAGGCAATCCCAAGCCACAAATACAGGCTGGGAGGAGAATGGCTTGAGAGCATCCCTGAGGAAAAGGACTTGGGAGTGTTGGTAGATGAAAAACTGAACATGAGCTGGCAGTGTGCGCTCACAGCCCAGACGGCCAACCAGATCCTGGGCTGCATCAAGAAGAGCATGGCCAGCAGATCGAGGGAGGTGATTCTCCCCCTCTACTCTGCTCTTGTGAGGCCCCACCTGGAGTACTGTGTCCAGCTCTGGGCCTCCCAACGTAAGAAGGACATCAAGCTCTTGGAGCGGGTCCAGAGAAGGGCAACAAAGATGATCAGAGGGCTTTAACACTCCCCTGTGAGGACAGGCTGAGAGAGTTGGGGTTGTTCAGCCTGGAGAAGAGAAGGCTCCAGGGGGACCTCATACCAGCCTTCTAGTACCTGGAGGAGGCCTACAGGAGAGATGGGGAGGGACTTTTTGAAAGGGCATGTAGTGACAGGACGAGAGGTAGTGGATTTAAATTGGAAGAGAGCAGATTTAGACTAGATATTGTGAAGAAATTCTTTACTGTGAGGGTGGTGAGACACTGGAACAGGTTGCCCAGAGAAGCTGTGGATGCCGCATCCCTGGAGGGGTTCAAGGCCAGGCTGGATGAGGCTTTGAGCAACCTGGGCTAGTGGGAGGTGTCCCTGCCCATAGCAGGGGTGTTGGAACTAGATGATCTCTAAGGTCCTTTCCAGCCCAAACCGTTCTATGATTCAGTGATTCTATATTCTACTTGTTAGTCTTCCTGAATAAGTTAGGAAGTGCTAACTTGAAGCATGTCTAACTGGGATTTAATAATACAGTCACTATTCCATAAAAATTTAAAGCATTTGGAAATCTTTTCCCAATGCATGTTACCAGACTAGGGGAACAGAGATAGTGATGGTCAAAAGCATCTCGTATATGAGCTTAACCCTATTTTTTTTTTCATGAGTGGAAGATGGATTCTGCTAGACATTCTTCATTGTGTTTGATGGTGTCATCACAATGTCTCTGGGATAACACTTCTTTGGTCATCAGAGCTCCACTGTTGTCTGAAAGTTATAATTTGATTTGTGTCTGCTAAATGAATCTTTTTATTCTAGTGTACCTGGTTGTCTCTTTTGGCCTGCTTCTGGACCTTGGTAATAAGAGTAGGTCTCATGTGAGGGAATTGGATCAATTCCTGTCCACTTGGCTACTGTCTTCTGAGGTCATGGACCTCTCTCCTGAAGTCTGTGCAGGAGAGCAAATGAAAACCACTTCTTATGGTGCGTCCGTATTGTGGGGCTATAGTTTAGTTTAAATCATTGTACTAAAGCTTCTTTAGCTATGAAAAAAAAGATACATGGTACTTGA